AGAATGTCAATGTGGCTTGGTGGTAGCGTGTGTCTTTTTCTAAAGCACCAGATCCGGGTTTGAATCTCAAACCTGTTTTTTTTTCCTTTGTTCTCCACTTCGAATAACTTCCCATCAGTACAAAGTTAAGACTCGAAATGCAAACAAAAGATGAATCATAGAGCGATTTCAACAAATCGATCTAGAGCTGAGCTAATAATTCTGCAATTAGATCTACCATTGAAAAAGAACAACAACTAAATCGACATCAATCAGATCAGATCTAAACATAAATGGGATGAATCACGGCAAAGTACCCATTATCAAAAAGAGATTCGAGTGAAGAACAGAAAGAGAGAGAGACCAGTTTGCATCATCGGAGATCTGAGAAGAAGAAGTCGTCGTCACCACCGGCGAAGAAGACGAAGAACACAAAAAGAAATTAAGAAAAAAAAAATGAGGTTGAAGTCTTGAAGAATCGAACCCAGCTCCTGAGGTTTACAAAACTGACATGCAACCGCCAAGCCACATTAACTATCACATAAAGTTTTGCAAAGAGATAGTATATATTTATATAAATACGTGGGATTAAAATTTAACGCTGTTAAATAATTCTGTTACGTCCAGTGACGACTGTTAAGTTTCGAGTTCGAAATTACCAAGTTTTTAAAAATAATAGTTTAAAAAGACAATCGGAATTAAATGAGGTATTTTTATTCCAAATTTAAAAACACAGGTATTAAACGGCCAAAAAAAAATAGATGGCGGTTTTTTCGGGTTTTTTCCCGGTTAAAATTTAACGCCGTTAAATAATTTTGTTACGCCCAGTAACGACTGTTAAGTATCAGGTTCGAAATTACCAAGTTTTTTAAAACGATAGTTTTAAAAGGCAATCGAAATTAAATGAGGTATTTTTATTCCAAATTTAAAAACACAGGTATTAAACGGCAAAAAAAAAAATAAATGGCGATTTTTTCGGGTTTTTTCCTTCTTGTCCTCATAGGAAAACATCCCAACAGTCACGAAATAGAAAGTTAGAGCTGGGATGCTTCAAGGTGTGGAAATCGCATTGGGGTTTCCTGAAGGCTCGATTCCTAAACCCGTTTATACACGTCTCATTGACTATTGAGACATTGTAAAAAAAAAAAAAAGGTATTAGTCGTTTGCTGTGA